TGCACCGCACTTGCGTTATATATATCTAGCATCAGATTTCATATTTTATTTCCGCTTTAACTATTGTAATTTCTAAAAGCAACAAGAATACAACCAACAGCACCAAACATAGAATAATTGAACCGCCTGATCTGACTATACAAAGATAGTAGTCAATATGTACCTAACAAACCAACTTTCTTGCAGCAATGTTCTTCAGTCATTTTGAAACATGTGAATTTCATGGATCAGATCAAATAATAAAAAATATAATAATAATAATAGATGAATAAATACATTTAAGCAATCAAGCATCAAATGTCTCATCTCCAGCTAGCTAAGGTACACTAATGCCTAAACTACACAAATTCTCCAAAAAGCAAAAAGACTCATGTTCGGTATCTTTTTTATCTATCAATCGTGAAGTTAATATCTTAAGACACGCACAAGATGAAATATCCCGGATCGAATGTTCTAGGGTTTTATTTACCATACCTCAAGCTCATGTCAAGTAATTCAGCCTCTTGTCCAATATCAAGTCCCGTGTAAGAGGAGGTGTTAAAAGTCGACAAAATACCCCATATCAATTTGTCAAAGAATTATAGCTAGGCATCATATCAATAAGATTTTGAACCACTCAACTCATTATAAGTTCGTTAACAGATGAACGCAGTCAAGCTATTTATCAAACCCTTTTTAATGTGTCAATCATGTGTGTGTATATATATATATATATACATACACGCACACACAGAGAGAGATCATGAAGTTAGTATCTAAAGGTATGAACAAGATAAGCCTATGCTGATTCATAGTTCAGGAAAAGGTGTCCTCAGAAAATGGCTTTTTCAAGGGCACGCTTGAAAGAACCCTTGCCTCAACAAGTCGTTGTTTCAGGACTTTCGGTGGCCAATCTCCCATAAACGCACACACGCACACGCATAGATGTGTAGATCTGCTGATGAGTAGTCGTTGTCTTTCCACATCAATATCTGAAGAAATGCAAAGACGACCATGTGCTTCACTTCATATAATATTAGCAATCCTTTTCCTTAGCCTAGATACCTTAGATAGGTTTAGGTTCAATGATTCTTGTCGGAACAGTTCTTGAGACTTGAATGATATGTATGCAAACTAAAAGCTGTAATCAGTTTTGATGCTTCAATATTGCAAAATCATGCTACTCCTGCTAAAGGAATTTAGAGGACTTTTTACATGCAAGTGGGGGAACCCAAATGTGAAGCTCTGCATGCAGAAGAAGACATTCTGCATTGTGCTTAATAATTGAGAACAAAAGATTTCTTTTTTGGTTTTTTAATGGTTTTATCATTTTAAGTAGTTCAATATTAATTTCTATTCTCTTCTATTTCCTGCAGGTAGCCTAATGTCGATGCATGGAGCAATCACTCAAAATGCCAAATTAGCTATTCATTGTGGAGGATCCATCTAATGAAAATTCTTTGGCTAAATACAATCCCCCAAATTGGCAAGTAGCTTCAAAGTACATTGTCAGTGATCTAAAATAATTTTCTCATTCAATTATTGTTGCTCTAACTGGCAAATAATGAATGAAAAACAATGGACTTTGCTAGTATAATACAATTGATTACCTCAATGTCACTTCTTTCAATTTGCTTGCTTCTTTTTGGAAGAGAACAAAATTGCTATATAGTTTACACTTGAAATGCTCAAAATCCCTTACTTTTTACTCATCGTTGGATACTTTCCAATTATCTTTAATTCCTCAACAGTAATATAAGACAGAATACTGCTTCATCATCTACAAACATCAAAGTTCTAACCACTTAGGCAAAGTGGTATTGAACCCTTGTCTAGTACTGGTTCTGAACGGTTCAATTACAAAAAGCGATTAAGAAAGTATTATGAGATGATTATGGGATAAATACAAATATAGGAATATTTAAAAAAGGCAGGAGATGGTCATATACCTTACGTGTAGAATGTCATATTCTGGTTCTTAAAAACATTTTTTTTTGGGTTGTTAAAAACATATGTTTTTACTCATTCCAGATTTTCTCAATCATGACTAAAAACAAAAAGTCTTGAAATACTAACAAAAATTTTGGTGCCTGCAGGTAGAGCCATTCTCATGTGCTCTACCAAAGGTGCATAGAATAGACTGAAAAGTTGGAGGTGCATTATTAAAGAAGTTGCATGATGTATACGTAAGTTTCTGTTTTATTGTGTGTTTTATAAATATATTTGAGTTGTTTGTATTTTGTTCATTCGATCAATTTGCTAAATTTTATGGGCTCTTTGAATATCAGATGGATAAAGCATCGCCATATGCTTCTTTCTACATGGAAGTTTATATTTTTGAGTGATTTCTATGAACTGTATTTTCTCTTCTTGATACTGATAGGCTGAAAATCTGAAATATATAAGAACCATTGACCAATATTTACGTATGCAATGACAATGCATATGATTCACGTTATGTCAAAAAAGTTGCACACCTAATTTGCAAGTACATTTTTTTTCCATCTTTTCAATGGACACATTTCACTTGGTACTCGAAGTTGATCTCATGTGGTTTTTGCTGCCTTTATGCATCCAGAAGCAAATTTGAAGGGGCTATTCTTGGTGCATTTGACGCTTGATGCACCTTTAATACACTCAACAAGAAGTCACTAAATCTTGCCCAGTGCATTGAATCAAGACCACTGTTATCAGTTGTCTGCAAAAAGATTTTTTGTTCATTTTTCCTTCAACCAAGATAATATCGTGTCTACAAAGAAGGAATGGAGAAGGGGAATTCTTTCTAATGGCAAACACGAGTAGACACCTTGAAAGTTGAGGAGAGAACCAATCTTGGGGTTCAATCAAACAGCACCACCACTGGCCTTCTTGTAGCTGTGTAACTAACAAAAACTGTATAATTAGTATGGTAGTTTGTGAAGTTTGAAACGTGAAAGGAAATCCCAAAAGGTCTGAGAGGACTGGAATTTGGTTGAAGTTAGTTGGTGGAGAACATGTTATGGGCCATGCAATTGAGTCAGGTCTGACAGCAAATTGGAGGCAAACATCTGACAAGATGAGCTTTGGAGGGGGGGCTTCAAGCTGTGCTCGGAATTTTGCCACTTGGAAGCATAATATTGGGATTCTTGGTTTATACTTGACACCCTCTGTTTTTGTTTTGTCAGAAGAGTAATGAAGACTAGAGAGCAAAAGGAATTGGAAGCTTATGTAGCACTTGACTTTCCCCATCAAGAAAGTAGGTAGCTGTCTTCAAAGATGCCGAGGAGGGGTAACAAGGACTGCGGGTGGAACCATTCCAAACAATTGAGGGTAAAATTTCGTGTTTGGATTGCTATTTTTTAGAATTTTTATAAAAAAAATATATACTATAATAATTTGATACACGTGAAATAAAAAGGTGATTAAAAAATATATTTTCGAAAAACATAAAAAATCGTTTAGTAGAAAACTCCAATCCAAAGCACCACCTAAATTTTGAACTAAAATTTACCCTTAATTAATTCTGATAATAGATGCACATCGTTTTGACACACTTATCAGATTTAAGTGATAGGGTTACAAAAGTTACTTATTGTACAAGTGGTTTATGTTATAATGGTAAATGTACAGTTTATAATTTGTTAGACACGGTATAATTCAGGAGAGTTTGCAGCCCCTTGTTTCTTGAGGATATTTGAGGAAGTATAGGCTGGGGTGTTGGTGGAGATTTGGATTTCTTAAAATAGTTTCACTTTTGACCCTATGTTTAGCTTTACACATTTTTAGTCATTAACCTTGTGTGCATGTTCTACTTTAGCCCCTCATTTTTTACTTTGGCACATTTTGGCCCCCTACGGTTCAATAATTTGCAATTTAAGTATGCTGTTAGTTGTCCCAAAATAACAATTTTATAGATCAAAAAGTGATTAAAATTAGTGATACGTAAACACAAGAGACAAAACAGGATAAACGGAAACTGCAGGGACCTGAAATTTTTATGAGACATATGAGATTAAGATCCTGTTTGATAACCCAATTCAGCACTTAAATTTAATAGATTTAGATCTTAATATATTCAGACCGTTTGATAACCAAAAATTAAACATATGAATTAATTAAGTGACATTAAATTTTCTAGACAAAACTTGCTCCCAAGATTAAGTGATAAGCTATTCACTTATTACTGAATGTGACGTGCATTCAAATGTATTAAATTTAATACTTAACAATTCAAAAATTTAATGAATTCAAATTTCAGATTTCAGATTTTAGATTTCAATTTTCAAACTATTGTTTTATCAAATGCAGCCTAAATTGAGGATGCTAGTACCAAACATGTAAGGCGGTTCACGAATTAGCACCAAATTTTTCTTCATTTTTCCCAGCTTAAGGACTAACTAAGACACGTAAACGCGAGAGCGACCCAAGGACGAACTAGCTCAATCAAACATGAACAATCTCGGCCCAACTAAGACGGTCCCCTTGGGCTGCTTTGCTGCAAATTTTTCTAGGTTTTCTAGCATTAGAATAAATAAAATAATTGTTGAATAAATCTAATTATTAGAAAATTTGTTAGAATTTTCAAAACTTTGTTGAGATTGTTTAGGAGATTTGTTAACAAGTATTTTTCAGTTAAATTTTGGCAAGAGATATTTGTGATTAATTTGTATCCTACCTCTCTGTGAAAGGAAAAAATTGACGAATGAAAAGTAAGTTCATTTTTTATTTTAATAACATTGCCTAAGACGTTGTTTCTTAGTTTATACCTTAAAAACCAACCCGTTCGCTCATCTATGTTGACATTTTTGCTCAAAAACACAAGTTCACACAACCACGATCCCCCCAAACGCCCCCCCCCCCTCTCTTCCTTCTCAAAAACCAAAAAACCAACCAAACCATAAATAAATAAATAAACACTGATTTGAATTTCATTCTTGAGCCCAAAAGCTGGTAGAAACAATACTTGTTTTGAGCAAGAAGTTCCCAAAATCACAAGCACATACCTAGATAATGTGAAGATGATATTATAATGAGATAGCACAAAAAAAAACATAGCAAGTAAACTGTTTATTTTACTTTAACTTACACTATCACACATTCACAAAGCCAACAGCAATTCTACAAGTAATCCAATCTATCCAATTATTTAGTTGGTTGTATTGCTATATATAAAGCCTAGCCTTCGCTTATAAATCCAACCTCACATACGAAGCACTAGACAAAAAATGTTCAAAACGAAATTAAGAATCAATTTGACCTTCTGGGAATCTTCTTATCATGACCGGACAGCAGCAGACAACTTCTTCTTTGGTGGTGGGTTACCGCCAGAAATCATCACATAGGCGTAGAAGCACAGCATTGCAGCACTGTAGCAAATGAAGAGCAAAATAACCACCATCACCAGAAGTAGCAGAGTTGATGCAGCAGCACCATTGATTAATAAAAAGGCCGTTCAAAGAATAGCTAACATTTGGAAGAAAGGGGATTCATCGTCGTACCTAATTGCAGCATAAAAGCCGGAGGGAAATAGCTTTTGTGTCTGTATCAAACAGCAGCAGCATTTTACGTTGAAGTCCAAATTAACGAATGCAACAAATGAATAACAAACTAGAAAGTTTTTATAATACCAATGAGTATGTCTGAGTGTTCTTCCGTATGAGGACTGCAGCAAGCACTGCGATGCATAAACCAATGAAAGAATTAAAGTATAGATAAAGCAATTTCAAACTAGACAAGAAAAAAAAAATGCTTCACATCCTCCAAACACAGTATCAACAGCGCGCGCGTGCACGTTGGGGCCAGGGGGACTAGCATCTTTTGGGTTGTGCGCAAGTTAAGCAAACTGCTTCTTCTAAAAATAGGAAAAAATCAACTTTTCGGCTTGAATTTTGACAAGCAGCTGTTAACACTTGACTGTTATCAGCCATTCTAAAATACATCGTGGCTCAGAGGTAATGACCAGACATCAAGTAGCCTCATATGAATGCATGCACATAAAGGAGGTAGCTTTAGAATTCCACAACTGTTACAAGGTATCTCTTTTTAAAAGTCAGCCACTGCAAAATAATGTTCAGAATTCTAATGCACAAGGCAAACTTTGAGAAAAAGACACTCTGTCAGGGATAGAAAGTAAGAAACTTTATGACCAAGGATAAAAAATTCATGCCAGAAATAAGCTGATGCAAGCTTCACTATGCCGTATGAAGTCAGAAATGGGAGGCAAATATTGAAGAAACCTTGATAATGAAGATCAAAGCACAGATCAGTGTTGCCAAATAAGAATAATTGTATTACTGTCCACAAGTCCTGTGAAAGACTGAAAAGGAGGAAGTATTCAATGCCAGCCTAATTGCCATAAAACTATCTACAATTTGTGTTCTATTACAAACTAAATATTTTGCTAAAATGATGCATTTGTTCATGATAGAGTAACTGTAAACAGTCCGGTTATATGATATATCATCTACAAGATAAGACCATCAACAGCATTAGCACCGCAAATACAAAGATCTGTCTGGCTTTCCCTTTTCTCGGCTGTGGCATTAAGTTCCCTAACAACCAAAAAGCATGTCTTTCATTTTACTACACAAGTAGCACAAGAAACAACCTGTAGAGCTCACATTATTCCATCAATAACTTACAAAAACCTATTAAGGAAATGCTGGGTTTCATAACATCCGACAAGCTGACCAAACATAAAATCTATGCAGGATCTTATGCCCATTGCCAGCTTTTTAACATTTTTGACTGAAAAGATTGTATGGTTCCCAAATATACTCTATTTTTATTTTTAGAAGGGCAAAATGCCCAAGAACCCTTCTTTCCCACTTACAATAAATTTTTCAACTCATTCTTACTAACTGCAAATCCTCTAGGCATACCCAAAATAAAAAATTTCATTCATGATAAGGAACTAAACATCATTTTTTTGTATTCAACTTGACTATAGTAGATAGACATGATTCTGAACTCTTCACTATGGCAGACTATGCTTTTGTCAAATTTGCACGATAATTGTACATTATTTTAGAATCTAAATAAAATAAATTTATTCTCAAAATTTGTTATACCAATTCTATACTGATAGAGACTTAAAATAACAAATTGCAACAAAAGTTCAGCGCATCTTAGTTTGTTGAAGTAATAAATAAGTTACATTTGAATAAATTTACATGCCACTGTAAAATCATTTTTGAATTGACACTAATAATTAATAAACCGATTAAAGATTAAAAGGCCAGTACTTTGAATCAAATTTGTATTGACACTAATAAATCAATTCAAGATTAAAAGGCCAGTACTTTGCTTTTAAATGCCCAAGCTTGAGAAGAAAAGAATAAACTAACCATTCAAACTTAAAATTCATTAAATCCCATTTCAGAAGAATAAGTACAATAATTGATCGTTAGAAAATTTAGAGATTTGCATGGAAAAGAAAAATAATTGATTTAATATAGTCATGCGGTCACGGTGAAAAGATTTGAGAATACGCCATACATATAACTAAGAATTTTCTTGATGAAAAATAAAATTTAAAACATAAGCAACTAGTCCACGCAGAAAAGAAGCAGGAGTTTTTACGAAAAAAATGATTTATGCCCAAAAACTACTAGAAGTCTAGGATTTTACTAGAATATAGGAACATGAGCTATTCAGAAATTCTGTATAAATTCATAAATCAGCTCTCAACAAATAAACATATTGCAAGCATAAGGAAGCTGTTAATACACCTTGATTCAAAGAGGAACTACTTAATTTAACTCAGATCAGGATTCTTTGATTACATGGATATTTTAGTCTATTACCTTCAGTTAACTGTTAGAGATTCCTACCCCAATTTCTTCCTATAAGCTAGATTTAGACAGTAGAACCAAATATAACCATAACCGTGTACCAAGGTTCTTAAGAATTAACATGTCCAGCTACTGCCAATGGCCAACATACCTTTCATTTTGAAATGGAATAAACAAAAACATACCCAAAAAAATGAAAAATAAGGAATTAAAAAAAAAAAAAAAAAGGCCAGCACAACATTGGCAGATTTCAAGAGTCAAAAATTGAACTAAATGAATCATAATAGAGAGCCCAAAATTGCCAACAACAAGTTCCAGCAGATCAAAATAGTTTCTTTCATTATAGGCACGCTTCACACTTCAGAAAAATCTAATTATTGTCCAACTCGTTGTAAGCACTTAATTTAGTACATTACACAACGATATTGTGGTAAGAGTCAACTTTCCAAAAAATCACGAAAAAATGGCAAGCTCCAGAGAAATCAATAAGCCAACAGCTTCCTATCAACAACATGAGTGGCAATTTAAACAGTTGAACTGCTAAAGCACCAGCTGGGAAGAATGGGGGGTTTTAGTTTTTCATAATATGGACACTACATAATGTAAAATGAAACATCCAACAACAGAGAAATCAACAAAGGCAGATAGCCTTTTACCACAAAAACAGTTTAGAACACAAAGGACAGTAAACATTTCTAAAAGTTAAGTCAAAAGTAGAAGAAAGTTGCAATATTTTCTCAAGAGAAAAAGCAAACTACAAATAGAAAGATGAGCTAACCATTTTATATCAACAATGCTAACATTTTATATCAACAACGCTAACATTCTAAAGACATTAATAGGCAAAAAGCAATACCTGCTTGACCTAGCATGAAGGGCAGGCTAGATTTCCCTTTTCTCCAGACTGTTAAACTAAGAGTGCTCAAGGCCAGCAGAGGACCTCCAAAGAACACCCCAGTTATAAACGTTGCAGGGTTTCTGGAGAAAATGAAGCCAACAAGGCCCCCACATAAAACAAGTCCACCTGATCAAAGAAACTATCAATAAGCGTCATCTCCTAAATGATTTAAGCATTTCACACCTCCAGTTCATAATTAAACAAGTACAAAGAACCTACACAACCTTCTTTTACAAAGAATCATTAACAGGATTTAACCAAGGTCAATATGTTAGTTAAAACAGTCTGTTATATTTAAAACAGCAGTTCGGAACACTAGCAGTAGAAACTATGAAACTTACCGCACCAAGATAAGGAACAAATCTACCCTTCAAATTCATTTGCAGAAGCAGATAAGCTTATGAACCACACAAAGAGCACTTGACATTGTAATTGAGACCAAATTTTCAGCTTATGATACCTAAAAATGTGCTCATTGAAACTATTCTCTTGCCTAATACAAATTTGAACATCACATGTATCGACAAAACAAATCAGAACAGGTGGAGTTCACCATTGAAAAGATAAGACAAATACTGCATCAATCTGTGGCAAAATGTGGTTGACACCAACACTCAACAATTTAAAGTTGAGAAAAATCCTAGCTATCCACATGGAAAGACCTAGTTTTTTCCATTAAATTCTTTCTTTTACATTCTCCAGTTTTATATACTCTTGTTTAATCCACTAACTGCTTTCTCTCTCAAACATGGCAATACATCCCCCTTGTTAGTGAATGAGATGTGCACATTTCTAGTAGACATCATTCTATGAGAACCAAGCATGCGGAATTTTATTATTTATACTTGACATGATTGAGAGAAAAAGCAACCCTTAGTACTTACAATTTGTGGTGAATTAAGAGATATATTTGCTAAAGCTTCAATCTGTGCAACAAGCTGAAGCTGCGCCATGACCAATTGACATGCTTTAACTTAGTTACAGCTCAAAAAAGTACTTGCACTTTGTCATGACATTCTTTCAATTTTTACACACACTGATTAAAATAAGACACTTTACCATGAATAAAAACTTACCAAAAGGAATTCCTAGACAAAAATCATGAATCTTGGCTGCCCTTATTTGTTGGGTTGCAATAGGTTCTTCTACAGGTTCGCTCTCCCCTTTAATAGCTACAGGTTCTTCAGCAGTAGAATCTACTATCAATGACCTTCCATTATGAGATTTTGGTGCACCGTCTGTGTAACTTAGAGCTGTCTTTATCCCTGAATTGGAAATGTCTGTGGCGCGTTCATCTTTGCTCATAACAACTAGAATCTGAATTACAGAAAATCTGAGATTGATATCATTTTCAAGCAGCCACATAAAAGAAAAATGAATTTTCAATCCACCTTTGCTGCCAAACATTCAACCAAGACTTTCATGTATGTATTTAAGAAACATGATCCTCCAAAACAAATTCACCAAATCCAAAGCTACAAAAAATGATGCTAATTTACTAACACCAATTAGTCAGTGAGTGCAGCATGAAAGCGACTGGAACTCCATGAGAAATAACAAAAAAAGAAAGAAATGATCATGTAACACAAGGATCCATAATACATCATGAGATACAAAAGTACTTAAATGCAGTCGGTAACTCAGAAAGTACAAGCACGAGAACAGCAGTAAAGTTCACATGATTGACGAACAATCTCCTTCTCAAAGCATAGTTGCATGACAAATATTTGGCAACTAGTCAATATTCCTCCGAAGGAATAATCTTTACATGCTTGCACATGCTTGTTTTCATTAGATGAGCAATATACCTAGTGCACCTATCTTGAGGGTTTTCAAAGTGTTTTAACACATGTTCCAGAAGTTGGAAAATATGTTCATAAGATTGTAAGCAAGGCATTCAGTCATCATCATAGAAATGTCCAATGCACATGCAAGATTATCTGCAGAACCCCAAGGATTCACAGATGCAAAATCGGGTCAAGATCTTATCTTAATTCTCAAGTACTTGATATGATGAAAATGTTCCATGGTTTTGATCATATTACTTGAATCAAAATAAAAGTAACCAAAATCATTGGGAGCACAAATGTGAATAAACGGTTGTATTAAAAATTCACTAATTTAACCGTAACCCCTTGTCAGAGTCTAATCCCATTGCCCGCCCAGCATTTGGGTTTCAAGGGTTATTCTTTTGGTTGTTGCCACCCCATCCCCACAGCCTGTATTCACCTCAACATAAACCATAATGTCAAAACCATCTAACTATTTTCTGCAAATCGTCAATTTCTTCCTAGATGGAAAAATGAATACAAACCACTCATGATGATGTCCTACCAATAATCAGTATAAATTTATTACTCCAGCATAGGGAAGGGACATAAAGCTACCATTTTTTTCAACTATCTCCGTTCTGGCATGCAAATTTCTCCCATTTGACCAATGTACTTCAAAAACGGGGACAAGACCAGAGAGGGGCTGGCAGCTAAGAATTTTTAAAAACTCATTTGCCCCCTTATATTAAAAGTTTTATTTGTATTATGAACTTAACGTTAAGAAATTATTCTGATCTTAAGTTCTTGCCCCCAAGCTTGAGAATTTGGTATTCAGCAGAAATATTTTATACATTTTACTTTCGCCCCATAAAAGTTTCAAACACTCTGGTGTAAATGAAGCTAATCAATCCACACACTCTAGTGTTCAAGCTTGTCTGTCTATCTTAAAGAGTTTCAAATTGTTTCAAATTTGACTTATTTATTCATCAAGCTGGAATTCAGATGAACTTTTATCAAGCCAGGCTTGAGTCGAGCTCATTTGACTTTTTTACATATAAATTCCAAATTTATGCTAATCAAGCCAATCTCGAGCAGGATTTGAAATTTCACCAAATACAAAATGTTATTCATGTTTGATTTGAGATCAAATGAGCTCTTAGTAATCCAAGCATGATTAGACAATCAAATAGTTTGGTTCGTCTTCCAGCCCTATTTGCAAGTATAAAATTGATATTAAGTCCGTCTCCTCTAAATTTGTATATTTTCGCCCTCCAAATTGAAATCCTGGTTCCTTCGTTGTTTGAAATCAAGAATAAAAAAGGTGTCAAACGAATTAACACTATTGGAGCACAAAAAAATTGCAAAGAAATCAAATTACCAGTAACTATATATGATGATCCTCACTTCAACAGGAGGTAAAAATCAGAGCTTTGGCAATATTTCATTTTTTTTCTTTAAATTCACTCCAGAAGGCTACCAGTCTACCACTCTAACAATGAAGCCATTATACAGAAGGGGGAAAAATTTGGGTTTTTCTTTTTTTGTTTTTTAATTCAAGTATGAAAGCAAAAACACAAATTTCATTCAAAAAGAACGAAAAGGGAATTAGTGAATTTGCCTTGGACCGAAGGATGGGATTTGATCGGGTTTGAAAGCTGAGTTGCTGACCCCGACTAATGGAGGAGAAGGCTGGCAACTGAGAGATCGCCACCGATGCCATCCTTAACCTTTCCTTCCTTCCTTCCTTCCTTCCCCCGGATTCCTTCCTTTTTTCCCCCTGATTCCTTCCTGTTTTTTTGGCTTCTGGGTTTTTGCCTGTGGGATCTTAGTTCTTCCTGAGAGCAAAAAGGGGGTAAATTGAATTGGAATTCTGGAAGGTGCTGCTAACTGCTGAAAAAATGTGGTCGCTTTTTGACAGTCTGAACTTGAGCTGAATTTTTTATTTTTGGTGGCACGGCCGAATTTTTATAATTTAATCTAATCTAATCTAAAGAGAAGGGAAAGAGGACTCGATGTGAACAGATGCTTCATCGAAAAAAGTCAATCTAAACTGTTACAGTGGCAATTCACGAAAGGCAAGGGTTGAACTTTGAGCTCCCACCCCACCAAGACAGACCAAGACTGAAGGTGACCACCCGGCCAAAGGCCCAGCAGCTCTGAACTTGAGCTGATATGCAAGCAGTCAAAGTCGAGTTACTATTGCTTTTTGCACGCTTGATGTGTACATGATTATAATAATAAAGAAATGAATACTAATATTAATATTTTTGACATTCTATATAAATTCTTCATTGCTAAAAAACCTTAAATTCTTAAATTTTTTTGAACATAATAATTGTTATATTGGTAGTTATAATGCTTAGGATTAATTTTGTTGAAAAGTAAATAGTTAAATTTAAATGCGTTCTTTCAAGAGAATTAGGGGAAAGGGAATGAATTTGGTGATATAGGAGGAGGAGGAGAGATCAAGAGAATACAAGTGACAAATAATTTTTATACAAAATTCCATTTCTCTCCCTTTATAATATTTTGTATGTATATATGCCCTAAAATGTTTATAATTAGTCACTAGATTTTCATAAAAACGATTCAATTGTTTGGATAGTAATTTTTCAAAAAATTTTAGAAAACTTGAAATACATTCTCCAACAAATTTTTTTTTTTTTATCTCACATACATATTTCTATAAACAAAAAAGTCTTAATTAGTATACCATCTTAAAAAAAAAACAATTTTCAATGTATGTTATGCCTAAACATTATTAATGAAAATATTTTGTGCATGACTTATGGTAGATTGAGCAATTGTACCTAGATAAATTTTGACATAACATTGTTTAATGTATTTTATACCACTATTAAATTTTGTTATTACGGATAGTTTTCTGGGATTTCCCGAGAAATTTTTCCATAAATGATTGCTCATGAAGATTTAAAATCCACCAATTAGATTAGGGTTTAGATCTTCTCCATTATTTTTTTCTCTTCATTTATATATCCATTTTTTATATTGATATAACTAAATTTTTTTCACAATAATCTGTTTGTTTTGATAATTTTATTTCCGCAAGTAAATCAACATATTTAAAAATCAGGCTCATTTGTGAATATAACTATGGGATAATTTCATAAACCACTCCTGAGGTTTCTCACAATTACAAAGAGCTCCTCTCAAATTTTAAAAATTACATATACTCCCCTACTTTTACTGTTTAGTAACAATGTATGTTTAAGAACTTAGATTTTCTTTCAAAAATCCTAAATTGCCCTTTTGTACCATAGTATACTCAATCATTTTCTTCCACACTTTGCATAAATCAAACATATTTAAAAATCAGGCTCGTTTGTGAATATAACTATGGGATAATTTCACAAACCTCTCCTGAGGTTTCTCACAATTACAAAGAGCTCCTCTCAGATTTTAAAAATTATATATACTCTCCTACTTTTACTGTTTAGTAACAATGTATGTTTAAGAACTTAGATTTTCTTTCAAAAATCCTAAATTGCCCTTTTGTGCAAAACTAAGAAAAAAAAACATAGTATACTCAATCATTTTCTTCCACACTTTGCATAAATCAACAAGCCAAATCCCTAATGACCATCCAAACATAAGTTCTAAAATCAAGTAGTCATCCAAAATATTCCAAATTGTATTATACAGTATCAATACTTGCCACGATAAAAAAAAACACACAAAACCCCATTGACAACCAATTTTATATTCACAAATTAAATGCTCAAATACCTTTTCAATATAAACTAATTTGACCTAGAACCACCATTACAACTCTCCTATGCCCTTCAAAATATTAATTTCTCAAAAGTAAAGAATAAATTCTACCTCCAAAATAAAATCATAATAAAAAATTTCTAATCCAATGAAAGAAATCATTATGTAATTATTGACAATTTATAAATTTTTTTTCGTAACAACAAACAAAATATGACAATTTCCATAGCTTTAGTTCTTTTTCCTATTTCAATAATCAATTTCATTATTTATTTCTCTATCACTGCAAGTTTCTTCATTTCCTTCTAGTTTGACAATAATCTACTTTCTTTGTATATTTTGTAATTTTAATTTCAAAACTGAAGATAATAAAAAGAGATTATATTAACTAGAAAATAGACAAGAGATGGAAAAATAAATTTTTTTAGGTTTTGTAAATTTATTGCCTTAAATTTAAAATTGTCTACTGAGTGGAGGACATTATAGATATTTTATTATGGATAATTTTAGAAACCTCCCTTGAGGTTTTTCCTAATCATACCTAGCACCCCTAAAGTTTCTAAAATCACACTTAGCACCCTTAGAATAACAACTTTTGTAACATATCAACCCCTTTAGGTAAAAATTGTATTAAAAATGTATTTAGAAGAGCAAGTTGATTTTTGAAAACTAGAAGATGAAAATAAAAACAAGTTGATTCTTTTTCAGCCTTTTTCATATTTCTTATGTAGGAAAAGGCAAGAAAAAAGAAAAAATATTTATGTTCAATTATGTAAAAATAAAGTAACAAAAATGCCATAAAATTTGGGTACATTTTGGGCCTTTGTTTTGCATATGCAACTGAAGATAGGTTTTGAGGTACTTAGATAATCTAAACATAGAAAATCTATCTTTTTTTTTACTACGATTTTATCTTGTTATCTAGTTTAATCATTAAGAGGTGAGGAAAAAATAGGTTAAAATCATTCATTTGGTGATAAAAGGCTGGGATGTAGTTGAAATAATGATAAAATGCATATTAAATATACCTATAATGGTGTTCAATTATCAAAAACAAAATTTTTCAAAAATTGGTTAACAAACAATATTCAAAAATTTTTATTTCCTTTCTATCCAAAACTTTCGCACAAACCTTATAACAGTCATATGAATCAACAAAAATTATACAATTCAATAGTTATTGTACTTACATCCCCTCAATTTTAATGTAAATATTGCAGTTCTATTTGTTTTTATTTTCATCTTCTAAAATTCAAAAATCAACTTGCAAAAGGGCAAACTTGAAAGAATATTATAGTATCTCTCCTAAATACATTTTTTAATATTAGTTTTACATAACAGGGCTAACATGTTACAATGGTTGTCATTCTAAGGGCGCTAAGTGTGATTTCAGAAACTTGAGGGGTGTTAGGTGTGATTAGAAAAAACCTCAAGGGAGGTTTCTGAAATTATCCCATTTTATTATGTCAAGAGAAATAAGTATAATTTTTTAAACCTGAAGGAAGCCGGGTGAAATTATAAACTTCAAGGGAGGTTTCTGAAATTATCCGTGTAACTATTGTTGATGGGCTGAGCAATGACAGAGGGAAGGGGAAAGTAGAAGAAATCTTAATCCAGTGAGTGGCACTTCATGGTCTGAATTCATTTTGTGGATTTGTTGCTCGACTATATATGACTCAGTTCTTAGGTACATCAAAGCATCCGAGCGGTCTTAAAAGCAATTTATTCTATTTCGAAGCTCAAAAAAAAAAAAAACCTCCTGGTTTACAACGCGAAAGTATATTGCGATATATCTTTACGACAAATTAAAGGTGTGGAATAATTATATCTTCATCACAAATTAGGAGTGTGAGATTTATCAAATAAAAATTCTAAAATTTTTAATTGTGTGTTTCATTCTCAGATTTCCTTTATTGCTTTATATTGCCCCTATATTTGGTATGTAATTACACGTAGTTCCTACTTTGAAAATAAACACATGCTAAATGAAAATAAAGAATCATTTGGGGGAAAAAAAACCATATCCATAAGGTGTGAAATCCATATCCTTGTTTAATCAACTTACACTAGTGTAATTAGGGTAGTCATAATCGCTTCGTACATCGTAATTATTCTCAAAATAGAAGGGAAACCTTGGAAAAATAGAGAATACATGAGCTTTTGCCCTAAAACCAAGCCTTGGACAAGAGTTGGAAAACCTGCAACAAATATACATGAACTCAACACGCACAACTGCACTCTTTTAAGTTGCTGTTGCAGTCACAGTGACTTGAATCATCGTATTGCAGCAATGCAGGACAAAGACGTGTATGTTAAATCACTTCTACTTTCACCTAATCATATTCTATCCAAGTGTAAAAAACTGCCTCAATGTGTTGTGAGCAGTCGTACATCCTAATGGCAGCTAAACAAAATTGCATAAGATGACGAAAGAGAAATATCTGAAGAAAAACACAAATGCTAGGCCTTGGGCCAGAATATCAACCAAACACTTTCAGGGAGTTACGACAGACATAACTGATCCAAAGAAATGTAAAGGTAATATATCAGGTAACAGCCAAATATACATGCAGCTTGGACTTGCTTAACTGCCAAAAAAGAAAGGGAAAAATCATGTCTTCATTGCGGGTCTTACCAGTCCCAAGCCACTTCCACTACCTAGATGCTTGAAATCCTTCGCTTCAAGATGATCTCCATGGCCAGCAAAGCCTGTTCCTCCTTTTCCCAAATTGACCAAATTCCTCTCTTTACAAGGTTTGTTGCAAACCAGACAAACTTTGTCAACAGCAATAAACTTTTCTCCACATTTCTTGCAAAACACATGCCCACAAGAATTCAGAGCCATTAGTGCAACGGTGTTTGTTAGGGTGACCTTGCAGCTAGGACAGATAAAGTTCTTATCAAGAGACTTTGATTTCTTCAATTCACTGGTATCCTCTGTGAAGTAAACTGGGAAGAGTGACTTCAACTTGAGTTTCTCCCTCCCCTCTGGACAAATCGTGCTCATAGATGGAGCTTCTACTTTAACTGGAGCGTCGGGTGTAGCAGAAGGGAGCCAAAAGGCTTTCATGGTACGGAGTGCTTCTTCTTCAAAAGACGTGGTCTTCACACTGTTAGCCCCATGGAAACCATTCTTGTCTCTATTGTAGTTCTTATCACTATATTGGGGTACTGCACCATGGTTCTGTTGATCAAATGCATCAAGCTCTCTAGCCTTTTGCAGCATCAACCTCTCTTCCTCCTCTTCCTTGTCTTGCTTCTGCTGAGCGGAATGGGCTTCTAGCTTTCTGTAAGAAGGAAAAATATCATCAATTTGGATTCCAAAGACACTAATATCAATAAACAACCAAAACTAGAAAACATACAATTATATCCTACTATCATATCTGAGAGTAGTTACTGAAA